GCTGTGGCATGTGTCAGAATTTTATTCCTTTTTGTGCTGGACAATATTTCACTGTATATTGTGTGTGTGTATGTATGTATACACTGTGGCGTAAAATATGGCATATATATTTGTTCATCCATTCACCTGTCGATGGATACTTGGGTTACTTCCACATTTTGACCTTCGTAAATACTGTTACGAACATAGTGTTCAAATATGTGTTTGAGTCCCTGCTTTCAGTTCTTTTGGGTACATACCTATGAGTGGAACTGCTGGGTCATATGGTAACTCAATGTTTAACTTTTTGGGGAACTGCCAAACTGTTTTCCACAGCAGCTGCACCATGTAATATTCCCACCAGCAATGCACAAGGAAGGGTTCAGTGTCTCCACATCCTTGCCATCATCACTTGTTTTATAATTAATTTTAAATTACAGCCGCCCTAGTAGGTGTAAAGTGGTACCTCACTGAGGGTTTAATTTACATTTCCCCAATGACGAATCATGTTCAGTACATTTTCATGTGCTCATTGGCCATCTGTATATATTATTCAGAAAAATGTCTATTCAAGTCCTCTGTCCATTTAAAAAAAATTGGATTTTTGTTGTTGTTACCCACTGGATTTTGATGGGATTGTATTGAGTCTGAAGATCAGAGGGTAAAACTGAAACATGAGTCATGTAGAGTGTCTTCACTTATTCTAGTATTTTCTGTTGAGATATTACTGACATATAACGTATGTAGGTTTAAAGATTTGATACACACATTGAGAAATGATTACCACATAAGGTTAATTATCTCCATCCCGTCACATAATTACCAGTTCTGTGGTAATAACTTTTAAGATCTACTCTCTTAACAGCTTTCAAGTATAGAATGCAGTGTTGTTAGTTGTAGTCACAGTGCTGTACACTGGATCCCTAGGACTTACTCATCTTAAAGCTGGAAGTTTATAGTCCCCACTTCCCCCACCTCCTGGCCCTGGCAACCCCCATTCTACTCTCTTTCCTCTGAGTTCAGTTTTTTAGATACCTCTTATGAGAGCATACAGTATTTGTCTTTCTCTGACTTACTTCATTTAGCATAATGCCCTTAAGGTCCATCCATGTTGTAAAAAGCAGGATTTCCTTTTTGTTATGGCTGTTGCGTATGTGTATGTAGCCCACATTTTCTTTATCCATTCATCCATCAGTGGACACTTAGGTTGTTTCCATGTCTTGCTTACTGTGAATAACGCTACAGTGAACATGAGGGTGCAGACATATCTTTCAGATAATGATTTCATTTTCTTGGGATATACACCTGGAAGTCGGACTGCTGGGTCATATGGTAGTTCTTTGTTTTAATTTTTTGAGGAGCCTCCATTACTGTTTTCCATAGTGGCTGCACAATAGTGCACAAGGGTTCCCTTTTCTCTACATCCTTGCCAAGACTTCTTGTTTCTTGTCTTTTTGTTAACAGCCATTCTGACAGGGTGAGGTGATATCTCACTGTGGTTTTGATGTGCATTCCCCAGATGATTTGTGATGCTGAGCACCTTTTCATGGCCCTGTTGGCCATTTGTATGTCTTCTTTGGAAAAATGTCTATTCAAGTCCTTTCCCCATTTTAAAGTCGGATTCTTTTTTTTTTTAGTTGACTTGTATGAGTTACTTATGTATCTTGAGTATACCCCTCATCAGATAGTCGGCAAATACTTTCTCCTGTTTGGTGGCTTCTCGTGGTGTTGGTTTTCCTTGCTGAGCAGAACCTTTTCAGTTCGATGTCGTCCCATCTGTTGCTTTTTACTCTGGTTGCTTGTGCTTTTGGTGTCACAGCCAAAAAACTGTTGCCAAGACCAATGTCAAGGTTGTCCCGTTTTCTTCTTGTTTTTACAGTTTGGGGTTTTACGTTTAAAAAGTGTTTAGTGCTTTTCAAGTTAATTTTTGCGAGTAGTGTTAAGACAGGAGTCCAGTTCCACTCTTCTGTGCGTGGTTCTCCGGCTTTCCCAGCACCACTTACTGACAAGACTAGCCTTTCCTCACTGAGTCTTCTTGGCTCTCTCCACCGTGTACGTGTGAGTTTATTTCTGGGCTCTTGATTTTGTTCCATTGGTGTTTTGTGCCTAATTTTATGCCAGTACCATGCTGTTTTGATTACTATCGCTTTGAAATAAAGCTTGAAATCAGGAGTTGTGCCTCAGGCTCTTTCTCATGATTATTTTGGCTATTCAGGGTCTTTTGTGGTTCCATACAAATTTTAGGGTTTTTTTTCTTCTGTGAAAAAAATGCCTTTGGAATTTTAACATGGATTGCATTGAATCTATAGATGGTAAAATGCTTTTATGATGTGATTAAAACCTATGATGAGATCCAATACACTGTTGGCCGCAGCCTCCAGCAAAATTAGACATGTTTTGTTCAGTTCTACACTCTATCTCTCCACGATTTGGTTGTGACTTCCTTCAGAATTGTAGCTGGTTACTTCTACGTCATTCTGGGTTCAAAAGAGAGTAATGTTATTTACCCCCAGTTCCACTGCAGTGCATCTGAGAACATCAGAGGTCTTCTGCCTTCCCACAGGGAGGCATGGAACAGTGAGACAACGTTCAGCTGTCCTCTGGCTGCAGGGGAAGAACGACCTGGGCCAGAGAGAAGTGGCCCCTTTCCTACCGCCAGTCTGCTTGGCTCCTGTGAACAAATGACCATGCAACCACTCTTCTCTCCATTGAGCCCGTGTTGCACAGGCGGCCCTCGTTTTGCTGTGCTTTGCAGATACTGCATTTCTTACAAATTGCAGGTCTGTGGCAGCCCTGCATCAGGCAAGCCTGTCGGTGTGCCATTTCCCAGCAGCACTAATTTTTAATTAAGGTCTGTACAGCTTTTTTTTTTTGAAATAATGCTCTTGCACATTTCATAGACTACAGTATAAACATAACTTCTGTATGCATTGGGAAACCAGAAAATGCCTGTGCCTTGTTTTACTGCAGGTTTTGCTTTATTGTTGTGGTCTGGAACCAAACCAGCGATATCTCCAAGGCATGCCTGTAGTTTGGAAAGGCCAACTTCTGTCTGTATTATAAGGCAACTGTGAGGGCCAAAATCCTCAAGCTGCTTCCAGGAGAGGAGCAGTTGTTACCTCTTCTTAAGAAATGGCTAACAGGCCCATCTCCCCTCCCCAGCTCCTGACCCCTGATCCTCATGTACAATGTACGGTCAGGCAGAAGCCACATACTTACCAGCTCTGTGTGTTTAAGAAAGTTAACCTCTATGCCTCAGTTTCCTCACCCAGCACCTGACTGTGGCCCTGCAGAGAGACGACCCTGGGCCAGGAGCACCCAGCTCAGCCATACCAGATTTCTGACCCACAGAAACAGTGAGATAATAAATGTTTCCTATTTTAAGCCACTAAATTTGGGGCTAATTTGCTACACAGCAATAGGTACACTACTTTGTAGAAAGATCATGAGAAATAAGAAAATCAGGTTCCTCCTCCCCATTTTAGTGGATTTTCAGTTACTGTTTAATCATTAGGATTTTTTTGGGGAGAAATTTTGTAAATGTCAGGCTCTTCACCAGGTCGGTGTCAACAGTCAGGGGGCTGCATTTCCAGTAACAGAGCCGCCATCAGTGGTATGACCCTAGCAGTGAAAGCAGGTCCCCATTTCTCCTGGGTCTTCTATGCACCAGCATGGTCGGGCACCCTCAGCCCTGAACTCGAGGCAGCGTTATTCGTGACCGCTCTCCTAACATGCGAGAGGGCCAGCTCTGGATTTTCCCTCTGCTCTAGCAAACGCTTCTTCCTGCCTCTGGCTTCTGCCACTAGTAACCTGGTTAAAATCTTCATAATTTAATTATTCCCTGCTAACAGTTTATTGACTAATTTGTATTTACATATGTTTGATCCCTCGAGAGGTGGTTACTAAAGAGACAGTGCTTTGGGATTGCTCAAGCCCTTCACAGAAATCAAACTTGGACGAATTCAAGTCATGCCCAGATACACGTTATTGTTAGGACAGTTAAGTGAAATAACCACTTTGATTTTATTCTGTACTGCTTTGCATTTTTCAAGATGTTAAACACTTTAACAAAGAACTGAACTTCATTTCCCTCAGGGGTTTGTTGGGAAGCACGCCTGCAGGTGCATGTTCCCCACTCTCCTCCTCCTAAGAACAAAACTGTATTTTGGAGCCGAAGCATGTCCGTCTCTTGTAATGGGAATCCTCCCCCACTGCTGAGGCTCCCACAGTGTATTGTGTAGACACAGCCAAGACCCCGTGGTTGGAATGACCTGCACCTTGACGGACAGAGACCCACCGAAGCATTCCCGTGCCCACATCGGGCAAGTTGGAGATGGCAGAAACGAAGCTGCCTTTTTCCTCCTCCAGTGGAGAACTCCTTCCAGGGGATGGTCCAGTCCAGACAGAACTGCAAGTCACCTCTCCATAAAACCTGCAGGCAGCTCTATGGCATTAGAGCTCTGGGGTCACTACGCCCCTTGGTGATGCTCAGCTGCTGGCCGAGCTGGAGGACTGACTGCTGACTGAATTGCAATCAGTCTGAGAAGGCCGTAAGCCTCCACTTCCCCTGTGGCCAGTTCCGAGGCCCGGGTGCTATCCCTGCCCCCCCCCCCATTTTAATACTTGCAAAACTGGCAGGTGCGTTACAACGGCTGCTGCCTTAGAGTAGACGTAAGCTGGGCAACACCTGTTTTAGACAATTCCGTTACTTCAAGTGCAGTAGTTTACTATTACCAGTGGATCTCCAGGCATATAGGAGTTTAATGCTCAGCTGAATGCAGAGAATCCTGACGGACCGGGAGAGGCAGCGATGGGCCACGTGGAGCCTGAGATGCTGGTTCAGGACCTCCGGAAGGTCAAGGCTGGTGAGCAGTCGGTGTTGGTGGTTTTCATAGTTTAAGAAATGTATTAACGCACATACCAAACTAAAACTTGTGTTTTCTAAGTTTATATTCTGTATATTTTCATATTTTTTCAGATACTAAGTGAATGTATAAATTACAGGTTCAACAGAACACAGATACTTCTATAAAAAAATAAATTTTAGTAGCAAATGGGCTCACATTATATAAAATACCAATACATGGGTTCATTTTACTAGTTTTGGGGGTATCATCTTTCTTACGAGGTACAGCACTGTAGACGAGTAAATAACGAAGTCAAAGACTAGCTGCCCTGCCCGGGGCCTGTGAAGCCACAGACACCAGGCCACGTGTCATCCCTTTTCACTCCCCTCCCACCACTGCGCCCCTGGGAGCCACTGTCACTCTCCTGCCGTCCTCAGCTCGCTGCCACCTCCCCATCCGGCTGCCCGAGAGCCAGGTCAGGAAGAAAACGAGTCCAGCTGGAAGGGGACGCTCTCACCTGAAACAGTGCCACGGAGCCAGCCCGGAAGATCGCGGCCGTAATTCCTGGTCATGTTCCTCAGCAGCTGCTGCTTTTGTCCTCAAGCCTGAGGCCACCCCAGGGAGCAGCCTGGCCTCACGCCCCCTGCAGCCGGGGTGGGCCCTGCCGCGAAAGCTGGCAGGTTTCAGGGGGGAGGCGGCTCTGCTCAGAACTTCTGTAGGAACTTGAGGACAAGGTCCCGCAGGCGCACCCTGAGCACCTCGTCATTGTCACAGATGATGTGGGTGGAATCTTCCTCAATCTGGATGAGCGTCTCTGCTTCCTGCAGCAGGACGATGTGGCCCTTGGCTGTGTCTTCCACCTTAATGTCACTGAAGCCGTGCTGCTCCAAAAGAAAAGGGGTGGGAGGATAGCTGAGCAGCTGAACTCTAGAAATGATACTTCTAGACTTGGCTAAACTGAACATTCTAGAAGAAAGTGGCGTTTTGGACACTTCTGGATACAATTCTTCAGACTAGTCACAGGACCTACTACAGCAAGAGAGTTCAACCAGCTTCATATACATTAAGTGAAGTCCCCAAATACGCTAATCTCATGCAAAACAGCAGAATTCCTAGGACCTGCTTAAGCTTTTGAGAGTTGTTTGAGGGGCACATCCAGGCACCGGGTTCAGGAATCTGGGATGCTGGGCTGTTTCATCACCAGCCTCCACACCATGCCTGAGGACCCTGGTTTAAAAAAGCTCCATCCTGTCCCAGGAAAACGCCATTCTTCACAGCAGGATACCAGACCATGTCATGTGGCAGATCCCTCCCAAGGGAGAAGATAAGGCAGCAAACCAAGTATTTCTCCAGTGCTGCCTCTGATGCTCACTCAGAACATTCCTACGCAGCGGACATACAGTGGAGAAAGAAAAGAAGTGGAAAGAAGACTGATTTGTCTGAAAGGGACACAAGACAGGTAAAAAACAAGACCTGGGGAGATTCTCGACACTTGGTTCTAGAAAGCTCAGCATCGTCTGGGGCAGGCACTGATAGTTCTCCTGCAGGAGGGGATGGGGCAGAGATGGTCGGGGCAGTCGTGAGGTCTGGTCCCAGGGTCAGTTCCTGGGTGAGCCAGGCAGAGGAATTAAACAAAGTCTTTCTGGGAAAGCAAGTTGTTTCAAGCTTAAGTCCCGAGGAAGCAGGTACTGGTGTGTCCACAGCCCACGGCGGGGGAAGTTCGGGGCGGGGTGATGCTTCCCGGAGGAGAAAGCGGCAGAGCAGCGGCAGGACGGATGGGGCCGTGCAGACAGTGTGCACTTAGCACTCACCTTCTCCAGGGTCTGCACAAACTGTTCCACGGGGATGGAGCCGCTCAGCAAAGGCTTCAGAACCTTGCAGTCTGGAATGTCATCACTTGGCCGCTTTCGCTTCTTCCCTCCCGTGGGCTGGGCGGGCCGGGGCGGGGGCTGGCGCGGGAGGAAAACGGGGAGCAGCAGAGGTCAGTGCGGGCCCCTGGGGCTCCAGCTAGATTCCCACACAGCACAAACAAGCTAAAGCCAAACTAGCCACCCAGAATCCGTGTCTTATTTGGTGTAGATGTCTCCTCTTAGCATGCTCCATGTGTAATTTTCAATCAGTTCAGTACTGTCTGAGTAGATTCTTAGTAAACGCGCTGGCAGCTGCAGGTAGAGCAACAGGACAGCAGCCAAGGACACTGGCTGTGGGGACAGACTGGCTGGTTTTAATCCTCCTGGTTCTGGAGCCTTTCACAAGAAAGTGAAGGTCAGAGAAACTGCCTATAAACTGGGGGTAATAAGGGAATGTGGTGAGGATTAAGTCAGACAGCTGAGAACCAGCGGTGTCCAGATATCATTCAGGGGCACCAGAGCGACACCGCCCAACCCTGAAAGGGGTTCTCGGGGCGGGGGGGTGGGAAACGTGCCGTGATGTGAGGGGAGGGAGGTGCCCAGGCCTCCGGGCCCTGCCTGCCTCCTGCAGGTCTGTTGTGTTTCGGGGCCTCCCATGGGAAGATGGGCCCCCCAGCCCCTGCCCTGCGGCCCCCAGTTTCAGGATGGCCGACTGGTAAGAGCCTGTCTAACAGCACGTGGCTGGGGGGCTCTGAGTGATGCTGACGCGCTCAGAGCTGAGAACGGCACTCGGGACCGGTGGCCCTGTCCCTGTGGGTAGTCACTTGTCTTCCCTTTTCTCTCCGAGACACGTGGCCAGAGGAGTAAGTATGGAGAGTGTGTACGTGGTGCGCCTCTGTTGCAGACCGAATCCCTTGGGTAGCCTGCTCTCCGGTGTCTGCTAGTGTGGGAGGCCCCGTCCCGGGGGCCTGGACTGCCAGCACCTTCTTGGCAGGAAGGGGTCTAGTGTCACAGGCCCCAGAGACTCATTGTGGATTCGAGCCCAACCCCCCATCCCCCCCGCGGCGGTACCTGAAGGACGTGCTTGTTATCTTTCGTGTGCAGCACGGCCGACACGGTTGCCAGGGAAATGCCAGGCTTAATCTCCATGGGCACCAGCGAGTCCGCGAGCTGGGAGCAAGCAGAGGGGTTTCAGTCAGGCTCACTGTGAAGTGGGGGGAGTGGGGGGAGCCACTGTGCCCTCCAGAGTCGGGAGGCCACGCTGGGCTGCAGCGCCACCCACCGCAGAGCTCAGGGACGGGTGGTGAGCCCCCAGGGTCCGCTCACCAAGGCCACCGGGCTTGCAGCGCCGCACGCCCCTGCCAGCCTGGTGGAGAAGTACCAGGCAGGTGTCGGAGCCGAGCCTTGAAGGGCTACCATCATGCATGCTCTTTTCTTCTAAATTTTTATTTACATCGCTGTACTCTAAAATCACCAAGTAACTTTAAGAAAGAAGGTTAAAAAACTTAATTTTTAATAAAAAATACACCCCCTGCACACACATAACTGTAGTGCAGAAAGGAGGTGAGCTCGTTCAGCCACAAGCACACTGGTGCTGGCAAGCACCACTCTGGAATCCTCCCTCTGGTCTATTAGTGCAGGGGTTCACCTGCCCACCGGGGGGCTGGCAGCAGCCCCAAGACCCCATGGGCCCCACAGCCAGCTGTGCTGGGCCCTGGCCCCGCCCACCAGTGGGCCAGCTGCCTCTGCACCAGGCAGAGGCTGGCAGTAAACTGGGCTGGGGGCCAGCCCCACCTCCCAGCGTGTCCACAGCCGTCAGCTCGGCCACAATAGAAGGGCCCACATGGCCCTCAGAGAAGACACCCCAAAGGGGAGTGTGCTGCTAGGCCCCACAAGATGTCTCCTACAAAAGTCCCATTCTCAAAGATTGGGAAATGTAACTGACTTCTCTAATACATAGAAATAAAAACAGAATTAGGCAAAAGGAGGAGGCAGGAATGCATTACAAAGCAACAAAATAAAACCCCAGAACACAGCAAAGAGGGTACACGCAATTTCCCTGATAAAAAGAGTTGAAGGTAATGATCACAAGGATGCTTAATGAACTCGGGAGGAGAATGGATGAATGAAGACAATGAGAAGTTAGAAGATTTTAACGAAGAGTTAGAAAATACAAAGAACCAAACAGAGCTGAAGAATACAATAACTGAGATGACAAATACACTAGAAGGAATCAAGAGTAGACTGATAGATGAGATGGAGGACAGATCCATGCACTGGAAGGTGGAGTAGTGAAAATCACCCAAGCTAAACAGGAAAAGGGAAAAAAAGATCGTTTAAGAGACTTCTGGGACAATACCAAGTGCACTAACATTCACATTATAGGGAACCTAAAAGGAGAATAGAGAGAGAGGCAGGCAGAGAACTATGTGAAGAGGTAACAGCTGAAAACCTACCTAACCTGGGAAAGTAAACAGACGTGTAGGTCCAGAGAGTCCCAAATAAGATGACCCAAAGAGGTCCACACCAAGATGTACTGTAATTAAAACGGCATGAATTAAAGATAAAGAATCTTAGAAGCAGCAAAGGAAAAGTAACTACATACAAGGGGAGCTCCCATAAGACTACTAGGTGATTCTTCAGGACAGAAGAGAGTGGCACAGCACATTTAAAGTGATGAAAACCCGACAAACCAGAACACTCTTCCTGGCAAGCCTCTCGTTCAGATCTGAGGGAAAGACAGAAGAGCTTTACAGACAAACAAGTTCAGCATCACTGAACCGTCTTTGTAAGAAATGTTAAAGGGGCTTTTGATCTTGGCTAGAAGGCCGAGAATTCAAAACCTGTACCTCTTGGGGAGGAATGGCAATGCCAGCTGCCTTGACTGTGGTAGTGGTTTCTCTGGTGTGTACACACATCCAGCCAAGTTCATCCAGTTGTACATCTGAAATCTGTGTGGTTTCCTGTTCAGCAACCACACCACAATAAAGGTGTTAAATAAATACAGGGGCTTTTCTAAGTGGAAAAGGTCACAGCTAGAAGTATGAAAATTACAAAAGAAAAAACCTCATTGATGAAGGCAAACATATAGTAAAGGTAGCAGATCAATCACTTTTAAAGCTAGTAGGAAGGTTAAAAGACACAAAAAAGCAAAATCCTCTGTATCTGCAATAAGTAGCTAAGGGATGCACAAAAGAGATGTAAAATATGAAGTAAAAACCATTAAATGTGGGGGAGGGCAGTAAAACTGCAGCGCTGTTAGAATGTACTGGAATTTAAGAGATTATTCACTTAAAATAATCACATCTGTAGGTTTTTATATATAAATCTCATGGTAACCACTAACCAGAAATCTATAATAGATACAAACATAAAAAGATAAAGGAATACCAATGTAACACTAAAGATAATCAGTAAATCACAAGGGAAGAGAGCAAAAGAAGAACAGAACATAAAAGAACTACAAAAACAGAAAATAATAAAATGGCAGTAAGGACATACCTATCAATAATTATTTTAAATGTAAATGGACTAAATTTGCCAATCAAAAGACAGGGTACTGAGTAGACTGAAAAACAAGACCCATCTATATGCTGCCTGTAAGAGACTCATTTCAGAAACAAGACACACACAGACTGAAGGTAAAGGGTTGGAAAAAGATATTTCATGCAAATGGAAATGGAAAGCAATCTGAAGTAGCTATATACATATCAGACAAAATAGAGTTTAAGACAAAGACTGTAATAAAAGACAAAGAAGGGCATTACATAGTGATAAACAGGTCAATCCAGCAAGAAGATATAATATAAATGTATATGCACCTAACACAGAAGCTCCAAAATCTATAAAGCAAACATTAATGGACTTAAAGGGAGAAACTGAAAGCAATATAATAAAGTGAGAGACTTCAGCACCCCATTTACATCAACGAACAGATCATCCAGACAGAAAATCAATAAGGAAATACTGGCCTTAAAATGACACATTAGACCAAGTGGACTTAAGAGATACATAATATTCCATCCCAAAGCAGGAGAGCACACGTTCAAGTGCATATGGAACAGTCTCTAGAATAAATCACATGCTCAGCCACAAAACAAGTGTTGGTAGATTTAAGAAGACTGAAATCATGTCAAGCATCTTTTCCAACAACAATGCTGTGAAACTAGAAATCAACTATATGAAACTTCAAAAATTACACACATGTGGAGGCTAAACAATATGCTATTGAGTAACCAATAGATCACTGAAGAAATCAAAGAAGAAATTGAAAAATACCTTGAGACAAATGAAAATGTAAACAATGACCCAAAACCTATGCAGTGCAGCAAAGGCAGTTCTAAGAGAGGTTTAGAGTGATACAAGCCTACCTCAGGAAACAAGAAAAATCTCAGATAAACAAGCTAATCTTACCCCTAAAAGAACTTAGAAAAAGAAGAAAAAACAGAATGCAAAGTTCAGATCAGAGCAGAAAGAGGCAAATAAATAAGATCAGTGAAGCTAAGAGCTGGTTATTTGAAAAGGAAAGTGAAATTCATAAACCTTTAGTCAGACTCATCAAGAAGAAGGAGAGAGGGGCAAATAAAGGCAGCAATGAGAGAGAAGTTAAAGCCAACACCACAGAAATACAAGGGACTGTAAGAGATTACTATCAACAATTACATGTTAGTATGTTGGACACCCTATAAGAAATGTATAAATTCCTAGAAACATACACTCTCCCAAGACTAAATCAGGCAGAAATAGAAAATACAAACAGACCAATTACCAGATAACTTCATGTCTGAATTCTACCGAAAATTTAAAGAGTTAACACCTAGCCTTCTCAGACTATTCCAAAATATTGAGGAGGGAGGAATACTGCTAAACTCATTCTACAAGGCCAGCATCACCCTGATACACAAACCAGACAAATCATTAAAAAAGAAAATTATAGGCCAATATCACTGATGAAAACAGATGCAGAAATTCTCAACAGATTATCAGCAAACCAAATTCAAAAGGATCATACTCCACGATCAAGTGGGATTTATCCCAGGGATGGAAGGATAAGGATAGTTCAAAATCCCAAAATAGTCAATGTGATAGATACACCACATTAACAGAAGAATAAAAATAACATGATCATCTTAATACACACCAAAAAAGCTTTTGACAAAACTCAACATGCATTCATGATAAAAAAGCTCTTAACAAAGTGGGGATAGCGGGGACATAGTAAAGGCCATATATGACAAGCCCACAGATAACATCATACTCAACAGTGAAAAGCGGCAAGCATGTCCTCTAGGATAAGGGACAATATGAGGGTGCTCACCCTCGACACTTTAACTCAACACAGTATGGGAAGTCCTAGCCACAGCCATCAGATAAGTGAAAGAAATAAAAGGAATTCAAACTGGAAAAGAAGAAGTAAAACTATTGCTGTTTGCAGATGACATGATACTATATATAGAAAATCTTAAAGACACAACCAGAAACTGTTAGAAGTAATAAATGAAATCAGTCAAGTTTAGGCTACAAAATTAATATGCAGAAATCTGCTGCATTTCTATCCACTACCAACTATCGGAAAGAGAATTAAGAAAACAGTCTCATTTACGACTGCATCAAAAAGAATAAAACACCTAGGAATAAATCCAACCAAGGAGGGAAAAGACCTGTACTTGGAAGACTCTAAGACACTGGTGAACGAAACCAAAAACACAAATGGAAAGATCTACTGTGCTCACAGATGGAAAGAATGAATATTATTAAAATAATCACACTTCCCAAGGCAAAGTGTAGATTCAGTGCACTTTCCATCCCACCCACCCATTGGTGGCACCTGGTCGTGCTCCGCCCCCAGCCTTTGTCAGGGTCACAGGAATGGGCAACATTCAGGGGATCAGACTTCAAGTCGGAGATCTGGATACTCTCCTGAGCTCCAGGGGGAATCTGGGGACACTGCTTCTGATAGTAAGTTTTCCTCCCTCTTTTTCCTGTTCGTTCAAAACGTGTTCAAGCGTCGGGAGAGGCAAGAGGAAGCCAGAGCGGCCTCCTTCAGAGCCCTGCACGCCGTCACCGCGGGCGCCGGGCCATGGGCCTCCTCTCACCCTCCCTCGCGCCCAGCGTACCTCAACTGTCCCGCACGCGCGACATACTTTTTAACTTTTTCCCTATTAAAACATGCTCAGATTTCACATAACTAAAAAGATTTAGACTTCACTGGAATAAAATCTTTACGTTACACTAAAATGCGTGCAAATAATCAAGTTTCCACTCTTTACTTTTTGGTTACTCTTATCTCCTCCATCTGTCTCTGGATGTGGTGAAACTTGCCCCTCACTCATCCCGGAGGCCCAGGAAGGAGGAGCACGCCCACAGCCCGAAGGCGGTCAGGCCAGAGTGGGCCCCCGGGCTCCGCCTGCGCGCTGGCCTCCGGGATCCCCCGCCCCACCTTCAGGCCAGCGGCGCTGGGCGGGCCTGATGCTAACGGCTGTCACTCATTGCCTGACAAATGAGCGGCTCCGGAAACCCCACCTCTCTTCCCAGTTACCTGCTTAAGGGTCTACGTGCTTTGGTTCATCCCCGTGACACAAACTCCGCAGAACGCCGCCCACCGGGACGGTCTCCCAGAGACGCGGGCGGAACCGCGGGGGTGGCCCCGCAGCGCGGCGGGCTCACCTCCGGCATGATCTCGATCTTCTCGTAGCGACGCCGGAAGGGCAACGCCAGGACCTCGGCGCGCCGGTAGGACATGGCGGGCGGCTGGCAGTCGATCATCAGGTCCACCCTGTGGGACTGCGCTGGGGGCGGCTGCGTGTACTGCTCGGGACAGACCACGTGGAGCGGCTGGGGACCGGCGGGGAGAAAGAGGCTGTGAGGCAGAGCGCCAGGCCCAGCCCGATCTTTCTCCCTGCCTGAACTCTCGTCCTCCCAGGGGGCCGGGGGAAGAAGGGTAAACATTCCAGGGAAAACCTGACCTGCCAGCCGTGTGGATGAACGAGGGGTTTGCTGCCTGGGTTTGCACGTGTTTTTATTTTTTCATTATATTTAAGTCTCTTGAATGGTGGCCTCCTCAAACTGGTCTCCAAGCCCCTCGAGGACAATCTTCTTGTCATTCATCGTCACCGACTGGTACTGCTACTGGCTGACTAGGAAGAGCTGTGCCTTTCTGTACTAGCTGGGCTTTCTGGGGGGCGCGTTTCTCCTGGTGTCTGCAGGTCCATTGGTGTTAGGCAGTGGGCAAGGGTCAGGCCACAGCCTCAACTGTGTATGACACACTGAGTCAGGGACAGGTTTCTCTTCTTTTTTTTTTTTTAACAAAATATCTCTATTTATTATCTTGTGAGAAAAAGAATTAGTAAGCCAATGTTTACTTTGGACAGATACCACCCAACTGCAAACTGACCCTGGCACCCAGAGAGTCACTGTATTGTCACTGCTTTTACTTAAGAGACTGGACCAGGACTCAAGTTCCCCGAAGAACGAGGCTTCCAACAGCCCTGACGGGTTGCATTTCCAACAGCGCCTGCCCTTTAGGACTGTCCCCTCTCCTCCTCCTCAGACTGCCTTCTGCTCTCCTTCCTGACCCGTCAGCATCTTGTAATTCTGTCTCAAAGCCAGTCGACTCCACAGCCATCGCCTGAGGACCCTCCCCAGGCTGTCCTCGTCCTGGCTCCGGGACTGCGTGTGAATTTACTCAGGAATGAACACAACAAACTCTTCACTGTCCCTTCCAGCCTACTGATGGGCACACAGTGGGCAGTAAATCGCTCATGTAATCCAAGCCGGTGAACTGCTCTGTGTCTAGAGAAAGCCCGTGTGCTGGTGGTCACCACCCGCTCCCCCTGCGCTCCGGAGGCCTCCAGCTTTCTGTTTCTTGTTACCCCTTCCTTAGACTTTCATGTCAGTGCCTCTCCTCCCGAGGTCAAAGGTTCTGTGAAGAGGAGGAAAGCGAACTCCTGACCCAGGCCAGGAAGCGAAGGGAGCTAAGCACACCTCGCTGACGGACCACGTGCCAGGGCCCCTCAGGGCCCCTCAGTGCCCACGTGAGGTCCCGGGACATCAGAAGCCTTCCTCTCGCCTGTTCTGAGCTGTCTTCCTCACCGCCAACCCTACCCCTCCAACCGCCCACCGGGGACCACTGGGTGCTAAGTGGCCTGGGGCGGTCAGCTCTTCTCCCCCGTTCTCCCGCCTCATCTCCGGGGCAGATCCTCCTCCTTTCACCCAGACTGCTCCCTCCCTTTCTCTAGGGCAGGACACGCAAAATAAAAAAAAAGCACGAGCAAAAACCGAACTGAAACAAACCACTGACAGAAAGCGTCCCTACACTGCTTGTGGGCCCAGCCCACGCGCACCACAAGGGCCCAGTCCGTGTTTCAGTTCAGCTGTCCTTCAGCATGATGAGTATGTTTCTAGAATGATTTCTTGGCGGGGGGGGGTAGGGGGCACTTTGCTTTTAACTGGACGCAAATGGTCCTCATAAATGATAGGCTGTTCACGCTTTCTTTTTCTGCCACCTCTGATTTCTAGAGCAGAAATGTCTTTCAGGGAGTGCAGCTACTAGTCTGGAGTCTGGAGGGCAGGGGTCCCAGCACCCTGCAGACCCTTGAGGGGGTAGGAAGACAAGAGGGGCAGCGAGACACCCCCCCCACTGCAGGACCCCTGGGGCGCCACCAGCAGAGTTTCCTTCGTTACCTGCACTTCTTTGAGCAGCTTTGACACCTGGATGAAATTCAGTCGTGTATCAATGGGGCAATAGATGCACTTCATGGCCAAGGGCTGGTAGGGAGCCAGCGCTTCCAGGTATGAGAAGTCAGGTTCTAAGGAGAGAGCAGGAGAGAAAATGTAAATGCAGACGACAGAGGAGTGGACAAGTGGAGCAGGGACGGGATGGGGTGAGCCAGGAAAGGCCAGATTCCTTACCAGAGAGAGAGAGCAGTGACTTAAGACTAAGGAGAGGGGAGGCTAGACTAGGCGCGGTGGGGTGGATTGGAATTGCAGGGATGGGTATGGGCTCTAGGTTTTCAACACAGATGGAGGGATGGACAAGACAAGTAAGTAAAGGGGGAGAAAGGAAAGCTTTTCCCTGCAACAAAATGCCAACAAATGTTAAGAAAATGATGAAATGGAAGGAAAAAACACCATTTGGCAATCACTACAGCAACAATTTACTCAGACGAGTATCGTCAATAGATGCTAGAAGAAGTCAGATAAACATCTGGGGAAGACCAAGACAAGTACCCAGTCCCAGCGTCCCCACAAGATACTGATCCAACACAGAAGCGGTGACTTGGCAGCGGAGAGCCCTGGACAGCCACGCGGCTCCGGCGCTCAGATAACCCCGGCTCGCAGACAAATCACAGGCTGCCTGCTTGACAGGGTGCCCCCGGGAGGGAAAAACGGACTGTGACCCCAAGTCGACAAGGTGCTTGTGCTGAGACAGTGCTGCTCCGTCAGCAAAGCCAGTGCAGTGCGGCTGGAACCACCCCTGCCGGACAGGTCGGCATGTCCTCCCCCGACCCGCTTCCTGCGGTGGCCTGGCGGTGCTGCTCACCCCACCCGAGGCGGCTGCCCACCTCGGGCCAAAAACACTGGCCCAGTCCTGGGCGCAGAACGGATCTTAGTTCCCAACAGTCTGTGTCCTGCGAGGACGCCACTTCCTACAGCCCCCAGGCTTCCTCCCCCCCGCCCCCTGCCCAGGCTTCCGCACCCCACCCCAGGCTTCCTCACCACCCCCAGGCTTCCTCACCCCAGGCTTCCTCTCCCCTCAGGCTTCCCCTCATCCCCCCAGGCTTCCTCCCCCCTCCCCCATCACAGGAACTCACCTGGTGAACTCGGGATAACTGATAGAAATTCCAGAGTTTTAAATGACTACCCCTCCAGGGGATCCTGTTTCCCCAAGAAGAACCCAGAACCACCCCTCCACCAAATGAGGCCAGCACAGGCTGCCTGGGGGGATAACTGGACTTTTTGCTTTGTTCTTACCTTCTCCCTTCTGCTTTCTTTACCCTTGGGTATTTACAACAGAATAGTGTTCATATTTACGCCTTACTGTCAAATTCTTTCCCGGGTCTCTAGCTGGTAGGTACATCCTACCAGGCACTCAGGGGTGGTCCCAGGGGAGAGGGCAGGGTTTTGTTTGTTGGCTCACTTACCTGTGAATATGACGGTGTTGAGACTAGACTTTCCCCAGAGCTCCATGAAGTGGACCACGTCCCCGAACCGGAGGGAAGGGTGTCCGGTGAAGACCACACACGGCTGCCTGAAGTCATTGCTGAAGTCTCCATGGATGCTGGGGTAGTGCTTCAGCTTGTTGGTCTGAATGAGCTAGAACACGTATAAAAAGCACGCGAAGAGATGTCAGCCAGCCCGGGAAGGAAGAACCACAGCACGGGAGAGTGAGCAGAACAAAACAAGAAACACAAGACAACTGCATTGAAATTAGCCAGAGATCCAAATTTTTCACCTACAATGTGACTTTCTCAAAAGATGGGATCTTTGGGTCAAATTACCATACTTAACGGAAACTTTTATTCAGGTTGTTATGGCCTGACTCTAACCCTTCCTTGATAGCTTCTTCACTCCCAGCCCCATGCCCAGAAGTCCCCGTATCAGTTACTGTTGGAAGTACAAGTAACCTTCCCCAACTGTGTGCATGGACGGGGTAAGAACGGTCAGAATGGAGCAATCACCGCACTCCCACCTTCCTTCCAAGTTATACACAAATAAAACTGACAGTCTTCATCACCTGTCTGGCCAGAATCATTACTTGCCCCGGTTAAATGGGTGAGCGGCTAACTTAAAGGACCATAGGGCTAGTTCTGCTGTATCCACAGATGTCAAGGAGATAAACAGGATGCTAAGAATAGCAGCAGGTCTCTGCATATATCTTAAGTCACTTTTTAGGCAAACTAAGATAAATTCATCTTTTTTTTTTTTGCCAATTGGATCTACTTTTCCAGCTGATTTAATACTTTTGACCATCCAGAACTACCATTGTGCTGATTTAAGGTCCAAACTGTACAGGCAATGAAGCTCCAGGGTGGGAATTCTGCAGAGCAATTGATTATCAGCACTAAAGGCAGAACTGTATTTTCCCATGGGCACTGACCACACCGTACTGACTACCAAATCCATCACGCCCTAATATTGACAAGTGCGTTTCCGGAAGGCTGACTGCAGCCACGGTCTTTCCACGTTCCTGACTGTAAATGGGACAAAGGTCATCGTGACAGACATGTGGGTAAGACGGTGGGAACACCTTTAGAGAACCAGTTTTAAAGAAAGGTGAACTGTTATTAGGGGAGTGTAAAACAGACTTTCAGTGGCAAAGCCCACCATAAAGTATGTTTTGCTACACTTAATTTTCTGACATTATTACATTTCCAGCCTGAATTTCACTGTAGTAACGACAGAGCTTGCAAAACCCTTGGCTGCTGTAAGAGAGTTATGAGGACTGCAAATAACTGCCTCAAATCCTTCCAAGTGACGTTCTGCCTCAGGAAAGACCTGTCCTTTGGAGGAGGAAAAGAGTGGTCAAATTTAAAATAATCAGCAGTACATTTGTTGCAATTTACTTGAGCCAAATAGTTAACTGTATAAGATATAAGTCAACTAAATCCCTATACTTAAGTACCTGCACAGACATCTCTAACCTGATGAAATTTTTACAAACTGAAAACGTCCATGTTCCCATAGACAGATTAAGGAACAGCGTTACCATCTCCTCAGAAATCCCCCTTTGTCCCCTTCCAGGTACCACTGACCCCACCGCTACCTCCAGGACACCCACTATCCTGGCTTCTAATATCACAGATTAATTCTGTGTGTGTTTGAATTTTTATATAAATAAAATCACACCGTATCTACTCTTTTGTATCTGGCTTCATTCACTTACGTTATGTTTGTGAAACTGATCTACATTGCTACATATAACTGGAGTTCCTTCATTCTCCTTGATGTAGTGTATGCCACCGTGTGAATACACCACAAAACCCATCCGAGTGTTGATGGGCATTTGGGAACATGTCAGCACTAATACCAAGAGGGCCATGAAGGCTTCTGTGCATCTCTCTTGGGGACACACCTGCATTTATTTCTGTTCAGTATAGATTTCAGGAATGAAACTGCTGAGGCACAGAGGATGTCACAGTCCTATGCTCGGCTTTAGCAGATACTGTCAGTTATCTCAAAGTGCTTATACCAATGTAAACATCCTTTTAAAAAAATATAACAAAAAACTGGGAGCAGCTCTACTGTCCAGTAGCAAGGGAACAGTTAAGTGCATTACAGTATGTTCATGTGATGCACCATGGAATATTAGGCAGTAGAAAAATAAATGAGGCACACAGAAAAATGCCCATGATACCCTGTTTGGTGAAAGAACCAGTGGAAACAAAATAGTCATATAAAAACACTCACTGGTTCTGAGGAAGGGGGAATTTTTCTGTTTTCTAAACTGAATTGTTATCTTTATCATTAAAAACTTAACATCAGTGATAGACATAACTAACTGAAAGGAGTAAGTAAGTAAAAGACTACGTAAATCTGGTATGCAAAAAGGTCAGCAGACACTGGAATAAAATTCCTCGCTTGGTCAATAAAACAGAGGTAGGCTATTAACAGAATGACATACTGGTCATATAATGTTTTAATAAGAAGAGAAAGTGATGAATCTTGAGTGAGAGTACTTCGCTGCCATCTTACAAGGGAAACGAGGCGCTGTATCAGTTTACCTTGGGATTTTTAAAATTTAATGACTTGCTATCTCTACCCACATCCATTTATCTACATTTATTTCTTACGCTGATCCAGTAACTGCATTTTCTTACCTCTGCATGAGGAAAAGGCGGTTCTGGGAGATACACCTTAGTCTGTTTGTTGTGACAAAGCCTTTTTAAAAGAGGAAAAACATCAGCATGTTAGGTCAGGGCGCACAGTGGCATCTGTTGCCACCTAGTGGTAGCAGAGTAAATTCTGAATGCTGAACCTTACTGATAATTTTCCTGCCAATATCATTGTGAATAAAAGCCAGTATTTGCAGACTATTCAGGACATAAGTCTCTTGTGAGCATTTATTTATTTATTTGTTTGTTTGTTTGTTTGTTTTGTTTTTAATTTTTTTTAATTTGGGGGGGGTAATTAGGTTTATTTATTTTAATGGAGGTACTGGGGATTGAACCCTTGACCTCATGCATGCCAGGCATGCACTCAGCCATTGAGCTATACCCTCCCTCCGTGAGCATATTTTTAACCTCTGAAATTCCTCAATGTATTTTTTCTTAAAAAAAATAAGCTTCCTATTTTGGAGTAATTTTAGATTTACAGAAAAGTTGCAAAGACAGTACAGAGTTCTCGTGTACCTTTCACCTGGTATCCCCTAAGTTAACACCTTGCATAACCCCGATATGTCTGTTAAACTAAGAAGTTAACATTAATACATTACAATTAACTAACCTCTAGACTTTACTCAGGTTTCATGTTTCCACTAATGCTCTTTTCTGTTCCATGATCCAATCCAAGAAACCATACTGCATTTAACTGTGGTCAATTTTGAGGAGAATGTGATATGCTTATTTTCAGAGGCATGGATTTCTGTTTTATACGTGCACTGTTTCATTAATAGCAGAACTGGGAACTCAAACTGGAGAGGAACTAATCTCTCCAGTAACTCCATCTCAATCTACAGACACTGAATGTTCTAGGTAGTCTATGTTTCCCCCTAGTCAGATATGACATTTAAGATATGGAGATTTCTGGATAAAGCAGATGTGGCAAAATGTTAACAACTGTTAAATCAAGGTATGTGGGTGTTCTGTAGGTTTGCCTTTTTTAAAAGTTTAAAAGGAAAAAAATATATGTAGTAAAGTACATTTGTGAGAGCCTGCTTCTAAGAATTCTACCAAAATGTAATTACAGCATTTCAACAATTCTAACAGACATTACTTTCGGTGGAATAATTCGGGACTCCAGAGCTTGGATTTTTTCTGAACTTCATTAATACAATCTATTATCTAATTTTTCCTATCCTCAGTTTACTTTAACTTGATTTCAAAAACATCACTTTATATCCTTTTTGGAAGAAGATGTAAATATAAAATAAAATACATTTGAAGGGTTACTTATTACTAACATCTAAACAGACACCAGTACTGTCTTTATTTCAAACTCAGGAAGACAGACAAATGAAAGAGCTTAGTTTAAAAGTTTGATTTAGACTGTTGCAAAGGGTCATATGCTATGTCAATTAGCACCAATACATAAGACTATAAAACTAAAATACTTCTGTCAAAGAAACCAAAGCGCTAAATGCAATGTGGTACCTGGACTGGATCCTGGAACAGGAAACAGGCATAAGTGGGAAAACTGGTGCAACCTGAATAAAGACTTCAGTTCAGTTAATAATCCTGTGCTTATGTTAATTTCTTGGTTTTGGTGCAGGACACGTGGCTGGGTAAGGTGTTAACACTGGGAGAAATGGAGTGGAAGGTATATGGGAGTTCTCTGTACTCTCTTGGCAACTTTTCTGTACCGAAAATTATTTTCCAAAGTAAGAACAAAATCAAAGACAAAATTGAAAAAAGTATCAAAATGGGAAAAAATGCCTGCAGAAACATAACAAAATGTTAATATCTTTAACATACAGAAAGAGTTCAAATAAATAGAAGTACAACACCTCTAATAAGTAAATGGGCAAAAAAGGAACAATTTACAGAAGATGTAAACATTCTTCTGGAAAGTAATTCAGATTTGTATAATGAACATTAAAAAATATTTATACCTTTTTGTTCCAATAATCTTATTTTTAGTAACTTACCTAAAGCAAAAGATGTAGTCATATATACATAGAATGATATTAATTGAAAATTTATTACTAAAAGGAAAAAAATTGGGAAAAGCCTGTCCACCCCATAAGACAATAGCTAAGTAAATTATACTATATATAAATGATGACAAATCATGTAATAACGTAGTTGAGCAAAAATTATGGTCTCAAAGATTTCATAATGGTCTAATCTAACAAAATTAAAAAATTTAAAAGCAGGATTCACAATTAAATATTCAGCCACGATCCCTATACAGAAAGAAGAAATAAATCAGAATCTAACATTGATATTTATTTGTGGATCATGGGATCATGGTTCTTTTTTTTTTTACTTGTTCTCTGTAACTGTGTCTTTTTCTATAGTAAACATGGGTTACACACATAATAAAAACTAACACATATCAAAAAACAGAAACACAAAAACAACCTAGTCTTATTTTAGTAGTCCTGAATTCCACCCAATCAGACATTTCTGCCAATAAGAAAAGTCTGTAATGGGTGAAGGATGGACCTGAAGGGCGCACACCCAGTTAGGACGCATCCACAGGGGCCCACAGGGCTGGCCCGGGAGTTTGTATTTTTCAGTATTTTTACGGAGGATCTAGATGAAGAAATTCCGCACATGCTGATTAAATGTGCAAGTGATACTTAGGATGAACTACTAGTTATTCAAGATTACCTTCCTATGTTGAGGGAGAAAAGACTAAGCAAAGGATGAAATTCAGTGGGTACCAACAAAAGTGACTTTTTATTATTAGTCACTAACCAGGCAAAGAACAACAGAAAGTCCTACGGACAAACACGAGTCACAGGCACACGGATGGAGACGCCTGTCTGAATCTAAAAACAGAAAAAAGGACCTTGACAGCAATTAAAATTGGAAGAAAAAAAACTATTTAAAAAAGGGGGGGCAGAGCATAATGTTGAGGTATGTTGTACAAATGATGTACGTGGTACAGAAAGATGTACAAATTCCTTCTCAATGAGCAGCTTAGTGGAATATCGCGTGCCTCGGGCTACCTCACTGCTGATTAAGGGCGCCCTGTATCTGGGTCACAGCCCCATTCTAGGGCGCTATTAACTACTAGGCCCACTGTAAAAGTTACGTTGCTCTGTTTCCTTCTACCCTACCCTTTTGTTGGCCAGGTGGGTTAATTAGAGTCAAACACGCATCTAAATAATCCTGAAAAGATTCACCCACTTCATATTGTTCACTAATTTGCCCATCCTAGGATTTGATCAATTTCCTGCTGTAATTAAACTTAAATTTGCTACATATCTTACTACTGATGGGAAAAAAAAAGCTAGTTTTTCCTATCAGACATGGTATTATAAATTTTAGACAATGTAAGCTTGGCCTTTAAGCTGTTTTTAGCCTTTAGAACATAACTTCACTTTCCAATAGGCCGAGGGTAGCAGGCAGGAAGGTAAGTGTACCACAGTTTCGTTACTGATTTGGAAAGTGCTGGCTATGTTAAGTATTTGCCCTCCCTCCTTGGTGACGATTCTTCTCAACTCTGGCAACAGAACAGAGGTGGTTTTCATTAAGACAATCTTCATATTACACACACAGAAAAACAACAAAATGAAGGTTTCCAAGGAATGTGAGAAAAAACAGGATTATTTCTATTTTTTAAAATTAAAATTAAAAAACACTTTTCTACTCTTACTGCTTGAAAGTACTGAATCACAGGAAGAAGAGAGACATACCACTCGGCAAAAATCTGGGAAAACTCGAGTGAACTGTTAGCCACAGGGGAGATGAAATAGAAGGGGATGCTGGAGAGGCCGGCGGAGTCAATGTACTGGTAGAGGCATTCCAGGAGGTCATAGATCACTCCGGAGGGGTAGCAGGGAACCAAGACGTTTCCTCCGTTCCGGACGGTCAGTGCTAGAAAGGTCGAAGCCAGAGGGGGAAGAAATTAGTATCAAAAGAACAGCTTTATGCAGGCGGAATGGGACTCTAAATATCTGCATTTCTTTCATTCTCCTACTTCTGTAAGTCACTTCACGTGTATAACGATTTACTTCTTTTCAAGAAGAGCACCAGAGTGGGAGCACCCAGAGGCTGGCTGAGAATCAGCTGAGTTTTTAGTCAATGTCGGGGTCCCCAGGAACAAGGTGTGCAATCAAGGGCTTGGGTCTTAAAGGTTACCCACGGCAGACGAGCTTCAGGACAGACCCGCCAAGCTCCTTGTCTTTTTAGCTCCTGCTCAAAACTTTGCTGGATTTCTCCATGTTCAGTCTCTGACCACTGCTGAATGACCTATAAGGAAATAGGCCAAGTTTTTCCATTTGACTCATTTTAGTGGCATTTTCTTTCACTAATATTTTATTTAGAAGAAAATGCTTTATACTTTAAATACTTAAAATAAGTTATCAAATGAGGAACTGCAACTTATGGGTAAAATCATATTTGAAGTTACAGCTAGCTAAAAAAAGTCAAAGATCTCTTAACTTCGTGTTTTGTTTAGTTTCCAACATAAATTGAAACAAGCAGCTCTTGGGAACGAAACTTGAAGTCTCCGATGCCTTACATCCTCCTCCGTCCCCAGCTCGGACACACAGGTTCTCCCAGGTGCTGCACCTGGAGCACTGGCCAACCTGCTATTACTACAGCACTGTAGTATCCACGGAAACAGACAAGGTCAGAGGTCAGGGCTCAAGAGGCCGGTTCCAGTCCCGCCCTGTCGCAGGCTACAGGACCCTAGGTAAGCCACTACACCCTGCTGGGTCTGTTTCCTCACCACTTACGAGAGGAGTGGACTAGATTAGTGGCTGGTAAGCTTTATTTTGCACAAAAATTGCCAGAACATGTTGAAAATGCAATTTTTTTACTGAGTCTCTCCTCTCCCCAGAGTCTGACTTACTAGGTCTGTGGTAGGGACCCTAAATTTATGTTTTTAATAAGTAGCCTCTCTGATCTTAAGGCAGGTGGTTAGTGAACTTGACTTTAAGAAACAGCAGATTAGATGTAAGGTTCCTTTAAGACCTGAAGTTCTTTGAGTCTATGATTCTAGATTATAAACAAACAAACATACAAAGCAAAGATTCTATTTGAGACTAGTTCAATAATTTTTCCAAGGTAAGAATCAATTATCTTTGGCTTAAAATTAGCAAAGAACAAAAAAGACTATGATTATTGCCATGGGCAAGTGAAATTTCAAAGGATAGTGCCTTCCATGTAAACGTGAGATGACAACCACTTCCCTCCCCCAGGGCTGAGGGGCCTGAGCTCATCAACTCCTCTTTGGTAACTACTATGGATTGAACATTTGTGTCCCTTAAAATTCACATGTGGAAGCCCTGACCTCCAACGTGATGGCATTAGGAGGGGAGCCTTTGGGCCCTAACTAAGTGCAGATAGGCCATTTGGGTGGAGCCCTCATGATGGGATTAGTGCCCTTATAGGAAGAAGAGGCCCCAGAGCATTTTTTCTGTGACAGGTGAAGACAAGGCAGGACGGCTGCTGTCTGCAAGCCAGGAGGAGGGCCCTCACCAGAACCCGACCACGCTGGCAACCTGATCTCAGACTTCCGAGCCTCCAGAACTAGGGGAATTAAATGCTGTTGAAAATCACTCAGTCTGTGGTATTTTGTTACAACAGCCTGGGCTGAGACAGTAAGCAATGTTCACATTCCTAAAAGAAATGCAGCATTTCTCGATTTCATTGACAATTTATATACAAAGAAACATACATTTCTTCCAGGTAGAAAATATCCCACAAGTCTCTCAATTTAATCTTTCTCCAAAAGAAGAAAAAATAACACCAACCAAATATTGGCAAGGGGAAAAATATACCAGTTCAGTGTATCACTGTTGTGAATTCAAAGTATTAATAGTCTTTTCTGTGCTATTATTTGCAAAGCAAAGATGCAATTCTTCCTTTCTTTAACTCTGCTTACCCTATAAGCAGCCCTGGCCCACTCCCAAATTCCAACAAGTAAGAAGAATGTTCTACATAAATCAAGTGGGAGAGTGTTGAGTACTTGTATAAAGTGCCTAAAATTCAAATTTACTGCTTTAACAACCATTCTTACTGCACCTTCAGATTTTAGTTGCTTACGAATTGCTTTTTTTTGACGACAGTAGGCTTTTGAAGGATAAGCAGAAAGGGTAGGAGGAAACAGGGAAAAGGCTTTAAAAGGGGGCATCACAGGGTGAGAATGTGAAGGAAAGGGACAAAAAACATGATAAAAGATATCCAAAAAGATTTTAAAGCATTTCATCCCATTTAAGCTTTGCGTGGGATACATACCCAGGTTGCTACAGAACTCTCCCACCATGCCGTCTGGGTTTGCGGTGGGAATCTGAGTAAGGCCAGTCAGAATGAGAACATCACTGTTTTTGAGGGAAGCTTGGTCCATGGGCTGAAAAACCACAGAGAACTATGCTTAGTAATTTAGAAGAAAAAAAAAGTTATCTACAAGTGGTGAAGGAAAAGGAGATTACAGGCATTGCTTTTTCTATGTCCAGCTCATGATCAAGTCATCTTACTTCCTCTAACGAAAAGTATATCACTGAACAGTGGTTGCCCAAAGGGGATCAGGATGGATGTGAGGAGGCACAAGGGAACTTTATGGGGTGATAAAAAAAAACTTCTATGTCTCATCTAGTACGGTGATGACACGATATGAAAACTGACAGAATTGTACATCTAAGATTTTGGGTTTCACTATATATAAATTTTACCTCAATGAAAAATAAGCATATAATCGAGACAAGCAAGACGGCGGAGTAGAAGGACGCTTGTAGCTCACCCTCTCCCACAAAGACACCAAAACTCACATCTACAGACCTACTCAGCCAACCAGAGCACCTGCCGAACTCTGACAGAACATCACCCTCTTCGAAAGACAAAGATGCCAAAAATCTGGTAGGAGAAAAGGGAAAAACGGAGAAGAAAAAGCAAAACAGTGTGGGACCGGTCCTGCGGGGAGGGAGCAGCAAAGGAGGACTGGCGCTCGTTCACTGGGTCTCCCCCTCCCCAGCGGAGAGGCCAGCAGGACGGAGGGGGAGCCTCTGAGGCTCAGATCTGCCCTGAGTAGCCCTTGACCGACAGAACTGAGTTAAACGGGCACAAAGGGTCCCCGTGACACCCAGCCTGAGACGCGGGACGGCAGCTGGGGCCGGGCCAGGCCGCCCGAGCTGGGCAGAGGGCAGGGGCGGCTGCACTGAGGCAGCCCCGGGGGACTGCAGGGGGCCTCGTGCCGTGGCCAGGAGGGGATACGGAGTGGAGCAACCTTGGTCCCCCATAAACTGCGAAAAAAGCAAAGCAAACGGCTCGTGTGCCCTGGGGGGAGGGGCGCCGTAGCCTTGGTCTCCTCAGACCTGCGTCGCCATTACTGGCGCTTCTCGCGAGAAGAGAGGCAGCCACAGCCACAGCCGCCACCTTCTCCTGTGCGCAGCGCCCGGGCCGGGGGGCGGGCCAAGTCCTGAATCTGCACCGGGAGCTCCGCAACCTCCTAGGCAGGACTGAGACTTGTTTACAGCCCCAGGCAGATAGGATCTCTCTGCCCTGGCACCTCAGAGAACTCGTGCGGCCAAGACAAGCAAGGAGCTGAGTTTTGGCACAGAGCAGGGGCAGGGCGGTTCCGGTGTCCTCCCCAAGCCTGCCTTCGGAGCGCCCACCCGAGGCGGAGCGGGCAGCTGCACAGAGAAGTGGAGTGACCAGCACCGGGAGAGGGCGGGCAGCCACCCTACTTCCTGCAGGAACACAGCACCTGACCACGGTGCTGGGAGGGGCACGATCTGCCCACCTGCCTCCCCTAAAAGTGCAGCATTAGACTGCGGCATCGGGAGGGGGAGTGACCTGCCCGCCCACTGGGTAAGAGCTCAGCTCCTTATCCAGTGTTAGGAGGGGGCGCGATCTGCTAGCCAACAGCCACTGGAAGCAGCACAGATAAGGGCGCCAACAGAGGGCCTCTGGAAACAGCAAGCTGAGTTCGCAGAACAGAGTGAAGACACAAAGACCTCTTGATAAAATGATTAAGACCACACTGTCTCCCAGAGAACTGGATAACTGATACTCCTTAAGCCACAGTGCCAGAGAGATATGAGCAATATGAAGAAGCAGAAGAACCATTCCCAATTAAAAGATCAAGAGAAATATCCTGAAAGCACGATCAAGGAAATAGATGTTGATGGCCTACAAGATCAAGATTTCAAAAAAGGATTGATCAAAGTACTGAAGGAACTAAAAGAAATAGTGTTTAGAGATATAAAATGTGTCAAAAATGAAACAGAAGCTATAAAGAAGAACCAAGTAGAATTAGTAAACTCATTTGCTGAGATAAGAGCTGACCTAAAGGCTTT